GGTTTCTAGGGTTGCATGTACACCATAGGAGTGTTAGAATGCTCAAAACCCATCAACAATCTCATCGCGAAAAGCGCTCAATCTCTCATTAGGAATCTCCAGAATACCCTCCTTGACCGAGCCAAAAATTATAGGAGTCTGATCAAGGATATTACGCGTAATATCAGACGGGATGAATTCCCTCGTCTAGTCGTCAAGCTGCTCGGATCCAGAACCCGAGCCTGATCCCTCTCCGACACCGGAACTGCCCACTGGCCTGCCTCGCAATACCACCATACTGAAAATAGATCATAAAACTATCAGAATAAGCATCAATGCATATCGGTGGAATCATAACCACACAAGCTCCCTGGCTTCATTACAGCCCTCCTTAAATCGAGTATGGATCCTCTGCTTCCAGTAGTACGGGCCCAATACTACCTTCCACATCAATCCGTACTTTCCTCAAGAAGTGCCTTCACTCAACCAAGTTACTCTATAACCAACAAATCCCTTGGAGCTAGGGCTCCCAACACTAAATCTCATCCTAGATTTTCCTAGGGCAGACTCCACACCACTATCCGCCATCAGCTGTAGAAGGAACTCATGCTAACCACCTCTAACCAGCTCACGAATGCAGTTACATATTACAAAAACTAGATAATTCTTCGAATGAGAGGTCTCTCCCTACAATGGTTGGACACATACAAGAGCTGCGCAATAGAGCTAAACCTAACTTTCTAAAATTATTTAGTTTTCATAATATGTAACTTACCATATTCGCTTACTAACTAGCTGAGATTAGCAAGAATTCCTAAAAGCGCAAAGCAAGCAACATTCGAGCATCAAGTAAACAGGACAGAGCGTAACCTAATCAAGCCATCCTATCACTGACTGATTAGTACTAGCATGCAGATCTATAAGCTCATACATCAGGCATACAAAGGCATCTCTCCTAGATCCTTAGCCCTAATCTAGCATGCGATTCACAATTCACAATTCATATTATATATATATATATATATATATATATATATATATATATATATATATATATATAAACATGCATGTGTATTTTGGGATAACTTACTTGAGCTCGGATGATTGCATGCACCACACCCTTTTCTCTTTTAGAAATCCTTTTTATAAAAATGTTTCCTTTTGAAATTTTTTTTACCAAGTCCTTAGTTTGAGTTCAGACACACCCGAGAGTGTGCCCGAATCCCTCAAACCAAGGCTCTGATACCAACTTGTAGCACCCAAACACATGGTCCCAAAAATTTTGTTTTTAATAATGGATAAAACAGAGATTCCAATAACATCCAATCATCTCAAATAAAAACCAATGTATTAATTGTCATAAAATCAGAGTAAAACATCAAGTGCGGAATCTAATGGTGTGTGCGATGCAGTCATCCCGAGCTCTTCCCTCTGGAACCAGAAGCACCTGAAACATAAACTGAAAACCGTAAGCACAAAGCTTAGTGAGTTCCCCCAAAACACCACATGCCAATCATACAATAACAACTAGTGGGTCCCGCCCGTCATCAGGCCCCGCCCGACATCAAGCTAGGTTCGGTAAAACGGGCCCCACCCAGCATACAATAACACATATCAAAATAAACACATACACATGCAATAATCACAGAGACATATAACATACAAATATCCATCGGGCCCCGCCCGACATCGGGCCTTGACCCGGGAAAACATATAAACACAGCACATGCGAGAATAACAGAGAAAACTAGCATACTAACAACGTAATATAAACATGGGCCAGCCTTGGTGCCTTCGACCCGCTAAACTCGGTAAGGAAACTCGCCTCGAATGCTGAATGATAACCGGATAAATCCCGGCCTCAGAAATCAGCTCTACTCAACCCCTAAACAGAAACAATCTCACATATACCGATCAATATACAAAACCCCAAAAGGTCAAACTCGGTCAAAGTCAAGGTCAAAGTCAACGTTCCGAGTTGACTCAACTCGCCGAGTTTCCCCCCTTAGCCAACAGAAACGAGAAAAATCGATCCAACTCGTCGAGTTCACCTATGAACTCGCCGAGTTCTTCAGTCAGCAAGACCCCCTTAAACCAATAAGCCACAAATCTCGAAACTAAATCTCTCCTATTCAGATCTCAACTGAAATTACGTCTAGAAGGGTAAAGTTTCCAACTTTACCCTTAAGAACCATCCTAATGGGTTTAAACTCAAACCCTAATTTTAAGAGGCCAAGGGCCTAAACATTAATCACCCAATCTTCAAGATAAAGCTCAAGAATGCAGATCTGGACCTTAAGGGCTGAAAGGTCACGTAAAGTTTCCAACTTTACTCACATGCAAGGCTAGAGGAAGCTTAAAAGCTTAGAAGAGACCATAATAAGGGCTTAATGGATGCATGGAGCCCTTAAGACCATAAAGTTGGCACCTTTATGCCATAAGAGCTCCTTAGAACTCTAGATCTGAAGGACTTTGCCTCAATGGGACGTCCAACTCCCATCACACACACTCCAACAAGTCTAAAACATGCAAAATAATCCTAAGAAGAAGATCCAAGCATAAACTAAGCAAGGTTGAGACTTTTTACCAAAAATATGCTGAAAATGGAGTAGGGAATTGAGATCTAGAAGCTCCCTCTTGAATCACCAACTTGCACCAAGCTCCTCTTCCTTCCAAGAGCTTCAAACACACCAAAATGCACTCAAGATGGGGTCACAACACTAAAAAAATGCCCTAGGCTTTCAAGATTAGGTTAAGGGACAATGGAGGCGGGAAAATGAGGCCAACACCTGGGGTTAAGGTGTTTAAATAGGGTGCGAAACCCCAAAATTAGGGTTTCATTCCTTGCCGCCAACTCGTCAAGTTGGGACCTCCCAACTCGTCGAGTTGATCACTTAATCACGCGACCCAACTACATTCCAACACGACGACTTTAGGGCATTCAACTCGTCGAGTTCTTCTATAAATTCCAATAATTTGAAAGTTAAATACATACCGGAAACCAGGCGTTACAGTACATTCCTTGTACGCTCAACATTCCTGGCTAGCCTAAAATCTTCTTAACTTTAGACGGTCATTAACTTATTCGTTCCAATTCCGTTTTCGGCGATCCTTATATCCACAGAAAGGTGTTGAGGAGCTCTACAACCCTATCTATTTACTTTTGAGTTAAAACACATCGATCTAAAATCCTTAAATTCAATAAAAGGTCCGAACCATCACTTTACTAATATACCCTTGTGCTCCAAAGCACAAACCGAACTCTTGGATCATAGAATCTACATCACCCACATCCAAATGGGTCTAAACCTCATTTTCCTCAATGCCCGAAACTTTATGATAATTGATTTTTGGGTCACGGCCCCGGATTATGAAACAACTTGAAATAGAGTGTTACAAATCCTATTGGTTTTAGTGACAAATTTTAATATCGTCTTTTATCTCGATTAATTATTCTTCTGGATATTTTTGTTTTTCTATTTTTTCTACGAAACTATACATAGCTTCTTTAAAAATTTTATTTTCGATTTTATATAAAATTGTTTTATCTAATATAATTTTATTTCGATCTTTAATATAATCTAATTTCTTTATCTAATCTATCTATCTATATCTATATCTATATCTATCTATATCTATATCTATATCTATATCTATATATCTTATAAAAGCTAGCATTTTTCCTTTCACCACATTCATTTGAAACTCCCATGCATTTTTCATTTCACCACATTCATTTGAAACTCCCATGACTTTTCAATTTCTTCATAATAATGGTTATAAGTTGGTTAATAAGATTAAATAAATATTAAACATAAAGTGTAATAATATACAAACTAAATTTCAATATTAAAAGAATATATTTACTTCTACTTATAAAATTATGTTTTTTTTTAACTTTTAACATATATACTTAATTCATTAGTTTTAATATATTGTTGGGTGTAAACCATTATCATTTTAAAGCTACAACTTTTGAACAATTCGTATAAAATACTTAAATTATAAATTTAAATATAACATTACAGGATCAACTTAAATATAAAATTTAGTTTAACTTAAATAACCAAAGTAATATTTTATAAATAGTTAAAAGTGATAAAATTGTAGTGTCTTTCTAATAATGATTATAAGTTGGTTACTAAGGTTAAATAAATATCAAACCTAAAATGTAATCATAAATAAATTTCAATATTAAAATAACATCTTTACTTCTACTTATAAAGTTATGTCTTTAATTTTTAACAGATTATACTTAATTTATTAAATTAAGATGTTTTTGTATGTAAACCATTATCATTTAAAGCTACACCTTTGGAACAGTTTGGACAAAATACTTAAATTGTTAATTTAAATATAACATTACAGTGTCAACTTAAATATAAATTTCAGTTCTACTTAAAAAACTCAATGAATATTTTGTGAATAGTTAAAAATGATAAATTGTAGTGCTAAATGCAAAAACTGAATTATAATCTCAATTTAACTAAAATATTTCCTAAAGATATTTGTATAATCGTTAAAAGTTTTCAAATAAGTAACTTAAAATTACTTACAATAACAATAGTTAAATATAACTCTATATAAATGATTATATTGTTACATTTAAAATAAAAAAACAATGTCTGATGTTTTAAACAATTATAATGATAGAAATTAGAACGTTAATAAAATAAACTTTAAAAAATTAATTAACAATAACAAAAACTATAAATAACATTAAACCATATATTATATTTAATTTTATTCATGAGTAACTCGCGGGTAGAAGTCATTCAAATGGTTGAAATTATACGGTTATAATAGATGTATATATTATCATATAATTCAAAATAATCAATATATTATATCAATTTAGTATACGAATTATTATATATCAAATTTAACAACAACGTTATTGTTATACTCCGTATTTAAAAAAACATATATTTGTATTTATAAAAATTTCAACTATATAGGTGTTTCTGCTATAATATAATTTCTATAATATAATTTCTATAAATCTCTGAGTATCGAGAATTCCCAAATTGAGTGACTACACCAGATTTGCCTTCTATTTTCCTTTACTGTTGAGGGCATAATTTGCAAATTCTTAACAGAGAAACGAAATAGCTGACTTTGGCCCCTGATCGAACCATCGAAGAAAGCATATCCGAGTCTTGACTTTTCAACTCTCCCCTTAAGAAGCATATTCTCTTGGAAAGAAGCTCAGACCCAATCGCACCCACGCCAATTCCCCTCAGGTATCAAACATCTGGTTTACTTTGATTCATACGCGCTCTTATGATTTTCGGGTTTCAGCTTTATTCGTCAAATTCACTACCTGATCCGCATGTATTCCAACTCTTAGATGAAATTCGCCAATCTCTGTAACTGATTTCGTCAATTCTGATAGACTTTTAGGATGTGTTTGGCAGTTTGAGTACTTATGTGTTCGGCATCAAGCAACTGAAGCTAGATGAACTCCTATACCCTAGTTATATTGTGATGCATTCATGCTTAAGTCTACTTTATCTTTGTGATTATGCACACGTCAATTGGTTTGAATGCTCTTTTGAATGCTTGGATGGCATGGCATGGCATCCAAGCAGTAGAACAAAACTACTGTAATTAAACAAATATGAAAGAAAAAAATAGTGAGCTGGGAGAATTCTGTAAAAAATGCTCTTGATTTTAAATTTGCAATGTAAGATAAAAAGTCAATTAAACTATGATTTTCTGAATGCTTTAGAACTGATTTTTAAGTTTTAGCTTTCATACAACGTAGCATTCTTTTCTTGTGGGTGCATAACAAGGTATTCTTATATATAGCCTATCCCTAACTGGTATAAAGGTCGAGGATATTGTTCTTCATGTCTTGCAAGCCTGTGCCATGTAGCTAGCTGCTCCCATGAGAGTGTATGTAATGTTTATCGATATTGTGTAACAAATTTCAGGAGATGGATTTTGTTGAAGATGATTTGTAGCTGCCTGCATTTGATCTCTGGTGAAGATATTAGGAGTATGATTGCATGCACCAAAGTCAACAATGAAGCGTTTTGTGTATGCCAATGACGACGATTTGTCGCATGAGCTTTACTGTGATAACCGTATATCAAACAGAAAGTACACATTGTTAAATTTCATCCCGAAAAATTTATGGGAACAGTTCAGGTAATGTAATATCTGAGATGTATTTTAAGATTTTAGATGCTGATATGATGATTTGAGTATGTATCTCAACTGAATATTGTAGTTATACATGGTTATATTGTGTTGGGGATGAATTGTACTTTTTGTGTTTATGTTTGATAAAGAAAGAAAGAGCCGAGTTTTTGAAGAGAATAGGAGCAAAAACTTTGTACAAGTAGAACTAAATGTTTCATGAAGATAAGTGGGATGAGCTGCTATATATATATATATATATATATATATATATATATTAAAAATATTGAAATATTGAGCATGAGATAGGAATTCCTAAGTATGAGTATGACCTCCTTTATGGGATGATCGGAAGCTAGTTTTCTTAATTTTTTGATGTGGTTTTGCAAGTGATATCATCTTTTGTTTCCCTTTATTAGTTACTTCTGTTTTACCTCTGTCTACCACATTCTAACCTGTTCCTCTAAATTTCTTTTTTTTTCCCAGCCGCTTTATGAACCAATACTTTTTGTTGATCGCTTGTCTTCAACTATGGCCACTTATAACACCAGTAAACCCCGCTAGTACGTGGGGTCCACTCATATTTATATTCGCAGTCTCAGCAACGAAAGAGGCATGGGATGACTACAATAGATATCTCTCTGACAAGAAAGCAAATGAGAAACAAGTATGGGTTGTGAGGCAGGGTTCCAAGAAACTAGTAAGTGCTAAACCAACTCAATAAGACGATAATATTTTCTATCTTTGATAAAGGGATTACTTTGACTATTTCTCTCAAAAACCATGTTAATTGAAGATTCAAGCGCAAGAGATTCATGTTGGTAACCTGGTGTGGCTACGTGAAAATGATGAAGTTCCATGTGATCTCGTTTTACTTGGTACCTCCGAGCCACAAGGAGTCTGCTATGTGGAGGTATGACTATGTTCTTACTTCTTGCTGATATCTCATACGATTTATTATGTCGAATTTTGAGGTGATGGTGCTTGTTGTCACAGGAATACTATTAGTTAGATGATATATATATATATATATATATATATATATATATATATATATATAACTTATAGGAACCTTGGCACTTCAAGAGTTCAACTCTCCATCACCAAACCTACAACTAATCCACTTAAATATGATAAAGCATCCATAAATTGAGAAAGCAAATAGGCAACACCATGTCCTGTGTTTGTGTTTGTGTTTGTGTTTGCATTAGATAAGGTTGTATCATATGATTTACTACATTAAATCCTTTTAGAATCTCATGTTTGGCAATATATAGTAAGTAGGAACAAAAAAGAGAATTAAAGAGATTATAAGACAGGATTCGTCTTGAAGACCTCATGTGGTCCCATTTGATAAACAAGTCAATGTTTAAATTTGATTTTTGCCAAGTTTGGGAGCTTTTAGTATCTGAGTTTGATACTAAAATATGGAAATAGATGTTAGTTCTTTGTTTCTTTCTAGTTTCTACTATACATTTCTTGTAACCATTTAATAACATATTTTGCAGACGGCTGCCCTAGATGGTGAAACTGACCTTAAGACAAGGAATATACCTCCTGCTTGCATGGGTATTGACTCTGACTTGTTGCACAAAATCAAGGCAAGATTTGCATATACTCTATAACTTGAGGATACATTCTAATTATTCTCACACATTACACATAATGGATGGAATTCAATTTCATCGAAATCCTTCAAATTCCATGTCTGATCAACTTCACTATTCCTAGGGAAGGGTGGAAGGGATTCAGTTTCATTCTTCCTTTTATATTAAAAGACCAAAATATCCTCATCATATATAATTTTGAAACAAAAAGATAATCAAATTTTAAGTAAAGAGCAAAAGATATTTAAGTTTTATTATTGAATTCTTTCCAAATTCCTGCCAACCAAACAAGTGACAAATTATGATTCCTATTCCAAAAACATTCCCTTTATATATATTTATATGGGGTCTTCTTTTTTGCAGGGTGTGATTGAGTGCCCACACCCAGATAAGGACATTAGAAGATTTGATGCAAATCTGAGGCTGTTTCCTCCATTTTTAGATAATGATGTGTGCCCTTTAAGCATAAAAAATACAATCCTACAATCATGCTACTTACGGAATACAGACTGGGCTTGTGGTGTTGCTGTATATACAGGCATGTCCTTCCTATCTCTTCACAGTTCACATACAAAAGATGAGAACTGGAATCTCTCCTTTGTTAGCTGATCCATGAACATGAACATGAACATGATTTGTCAAGCAGGCAACGAGACCAAGATGGGCATGAGTAGAGGTGTGGCAGAACCGAAGCTTACTGCTATGGACGCGATGATTGACAAGTTGACTGGGGCTATATTCATATTTCAGATTGTCGTGGTCATTGTTTTAGGCATAGCTGGAAATATATGGAAGGATACAGAAGCAAGAAAGGTTTTGTCTCACTCTACATTACTCTGCTACAGCTACACTGTTCCTTTCACATACTTATGCTTGTTCTTGATTCAAAATACTACTTTATAATTTATGTGTTTTTGCACCATTCATCTCATTCTGCTGATGATCCATACATACAAAGTCTAAGGTTTATAGTTGCTATTGCCATCTGTGGTTCTACTTCTAGGGTTGGTATTCTTTGTTGCTGATGGTGATAGGAGCTTTTGTGAATTCTGATACTTCCTAAGTTGCCCTCTTTACATGACTTAAGTCTTCATTCTGATTTAGCATGAGTTCAAATCATATCAACTCACATAAATAATCTATCTATGCAGAAATGGCAACACAAAATTGGAATGATTTCAACTTCACATGTATAATCATAAACTATTTTATGGGTTGTAGGTCAATTATTATATAGATTGAATGGCTTCTTTACATGTATCTTATTCCTGTTGATCAAATTAAACATGTAACAGGATTCAATCTTAAATCAAGTCAATCTATCCAATAGGCAGATTAAATCATTAAAGGAAAACTTACATGATAATAGCACCTATTCAGGATTTAAGTTTGATGAGGAAGCCATTACGTAATTTATGTAAAGAAAGGACTTCACAAGTTAAGGTGTTACTAGAGAGAGTTTTCTGATTCTCTTTATGTTCATGACATCACTTGGGAAAGAGTGGTACAAATGATAAATTAGTTAGTTACGCTAGATATTGTCATTTAAGTCAAAATGAATGTAGTACAAATGATAACAAATGTTGTTGGTGTAAATGGTAAAGGGATGTTCCAACAATGCCCCCTAATTTTCTATCTCATAATTGAACTCATGTTCGTATGTATCTACCTTATGCAGCATTGGTATGTTCTATACCCAGATGAGGGTCCATGGTATGAACTACTGATAATCCCTCTGCGGTTTGAGCTTCTTTGTTCCATCATGATACCAATATCTATAAAGGTAATTTTACTTACGATTAGGTCTTTATTCTTTGATGGTATGCTTGTTGCTTATTATAATTGAAGCCTTTTAATATACATAGATGTTTTTCGTGAAGATACAGTTATGGCCATAATTTTGCTTTGATCACATTCACATGAGAAATTTCTATTGAAACATATTTGGATTGGTGAATAAAATAGAATGGCTTTCACTGATTTGTTTGTTATAGCATTTTACTTTCACGTCTTCTTTTTATAGCATTGTACTATTAAAATCTACTGGATTATAACAATGTTGATAGAGAACAGGCCATCACAATTGCTAAGGTGTACTCACGTAAGAAGAAAGTGGGACATGTTTAAGACGACGTCATAGTTTGTTACATCACATGATGGAGATACTAAATTATATATCTAGGTGAATGCGTGAATAAAGGTGTGGAGAGAATATTTTTCTGTTAGGAAGGATTGGCTGGTAGCTAGCTTGGGCAGGAAGAGTAGTCATTGGCTCTCTTCTCTGATATTCCCTCTTGTATTCTTCTCTTTACCATTTTCAGAAATAAATCAAGCATTCAACCGTTATTATCGATTATAGTTGATTATCGGTTTATTACATCATATATCTCCTTCCTATCAAATGTCATCAAATACAAAGCTGTTTTTACTGCTATAATTGGGTAGAATGTTCAAAGATAACGTCCTAATAAGAAAAAAATGCTACTGGGTAGAGTTTTGTAAGTACCATGCTTTAATAGGAAAAAAACTGAAAGCACAATGCAGTAATAGAAAGAAATGAAAGTAAGATGCCATGCCATAATACACAAATAAATCAAAGTACAGTGCATTAACCCAGTAAAGTTTTGTATAGCATCTAACGATACAAGCAAGGTTGTTAATAGCGATCGCTACACTCGCTATAGCGAATAGCGTAGCGTAGCTGTGATGGGTCACTACGATGCCTGTAGCGAGGCAATAGCGTGTGTAGCGATGTCCGGCAAATTTTTTTTTTTTTTTTTTGTTTAAATCGGTAAGAAACGTAGCAATTAGGCTCGGAATAGGTTTAGGCGGGCAATCGTACAGTCAATTTCATGTCTTCCCCTCTAATCGACTAAGATTGTACGATCGACGCCAAAATCACCAAAATCGATTTTGGCGGGTTATTTCTCACTTCTGCGATAGTAGCGACAATAGCACACCTCACCAAAATCGATTTGTGGTACTGAAACATAGTTTTAGACTTTAGAGTCTAAAAATAACCATTCTTTTGTGGTATTAGAACTTAATTTTAGACTTTAGAGTCTAAAACTAACCAATCTTTTGTGGTAAACATCTTTTGGAACTTAATGTTAGCTTAATAGAACTTGTACTTGTTAGTTCTATGTTATTTTTGATTGCTGCATAGGTGCAAGTAAATATAGTGTTAAATTTTATAAGAAATCACAAAACATGAAATAGCTGTCGCTATTTCATCGCTATCGCTACGTAGCGTATAGGTGGGTTGTCGCTATTTCCTCGCTATCGCTATCGATAACCTTGGATACAAGTGCTAAAACCCCAAAAAATGTGAAAGATGTGGGTGTTTTAATGAATCAGAAAGTATGTATACAGTAGTATACTATAAGGTTAATCTGCAGTATCCCATTTTTTTTTTGGGAAAAGACAGTATTTCAGTTTGATCTCGTCTCTAAAAGGGTTGAATGCAAATTACAGTACCATACTTCCTTTGATTTTTTATTAAAGCGAATCTACTTCCATTTTCTTCCTATTACATATTTACACTTATAACTTATAAGAAATGTTATCCAAATACAAAGAAATTTTCATTGCTATAATCGGGTAGATAATGTCCTAGTAAGAAAATAATCAAAAGGTAAATATTACAATTTTGGGTACATTCTTCGTAGTATAATGAATGTCTTAATAAGAAAAAGAATTAAATTTGGAGGTACAATGCTGTAATAGAAAGAAATGAAGGTAGGATGCTATAAATATAATACACAAATAAATAAAAGTATACCTGTTGCATTTAGCATCTTCTACAATATACAAGCTCTATTTATGGTTTGTTTGCTGTTTGATATGCCACAAAATTCCAAGCTCTAGAGATTCATTTTCCCTCATCTTTGGCAGGTGTCATTAGATCTTGTTAAAAGCTTGTATGCAAAGTTCATTGATTGGGATAAGCAGATGATTGACCTGGAGACTGGCACTTCAGCCAATGCAACAAAGTAAGAAAAAGTGTAATTCGTTTATCAACATTTTTCCAAATATGCCTACGTCACCTTATTCAGTTTATTGCTTTATATATATATTTTTTATCCTTTTATATGGCAGCACAGCAATAAGTGAAGATCTGGGTCAAGTTGAGTACATACTGACAGATAAAACAGGGACACTTACAGAAAATAAGATGATTTTTAAGAGATGTTGCATTGCGGGGACATTCTTTGGTAATGAGAATGGAGATGCTGTAAAAGGTTTGTCTTTTTCTCCTAAGCTGTAATAATTTGATAGTAAATAGGTATTACTTGAAATTGAGATGGCAGAGAAGAAAGACAAGGAAAGCTTTAATAAGTTTCTGGAACCAAATCATATATATATATATATATATATATATATATATATATATGTATAGGCGTATATTAGCCTCTATAAACCCTAATAAAATAACTTACATACATGATACATACAATAAAGGAACCACAACCTCCTCGATCTTCTTCAGTATCGGAGTGAACAACTGAGATGAATGATCTAACCGGTTCTAGAACCGGAATAACCAAAGACCGATTAAAGGAGTGAAGGAGGAACTGAGAACTGGACCAAATACCACTAACCGGTTCTGGTTCTGGTTCTGGTTCTACTAGAAAGCGTGCCATCTAAGAAGGTGTTGGGTACCGGAACCGAGATAACCGGGAACCGGACCGATACCACTTATCGGTTCCTACCAGTTTGGTTCTTCTGTTAAAAAGCTCATCCCTATAAGATAAGGAAGCGAGAGAGAAAGACAAAATGTGTAAAGATGTTAGAATGACTTAACAGATAAATCAGGGAAAGGAACTTTTTACAAATTTTCCATCATCTGTCTCTCCTTTCAGTTTCCCCAAATGTGATGAAGTTTTCCTAAATAAAGTATTTAAGTGTTTCATTATTTATAATTTATTATTATTATTTGCGTATACTTCTATCAAATGTTTTTTATTTTTTATTTATATCATATAGTTAAAAAATCAATATCGTTAGTGAAATATTAAATAATTTATACTTAAGCATCTCTATAAAATTATGATTTTATATCAAATTTTAGAACACATCTTTTTATTTATTGCTGTGAAATTTTCCCTTCATTGAGCTTTAACTAGTTTATGTATGCGGTTATTTCCATTATGTAGGATTACTTTGTACTACGTACTTTTGGTTTCTCATTGAAATTTCTTTCAATGTACTTTTTACAGATGTGGAGCTTCTCAATGCCATCAATACTGCTTCTCCAGATGCTATTAGATTTCTGACGGTTATGGCAATATGTAACACTGTCATTCCTATCAAAAGGTTATTCCTCATTGTTTTTTTTTTTTTTTTTTTTTTTTTTTTGCTGGCTAGATGCAAGAAATAGCGATGTACTTTCATATCTTACCATTACAACATTGTACTTTGCAAAGTCCTCCCAATTAATTTATATCAATGACAATGTACTTCCAGTTTTCTTCTTGATAGGACATTGTACTCTTGAATATGTACAGAAAATTGCTATAATCGGGTAGATTTTTCAAATTATGATGGTGTAAGTGTAAGTGTAATAGGAGGAATAATAAACAAATGAGGTGAAAGTGGTTTGCTTTTTCTTGCATTTCACTCTTGTGTTTGCCAAGAAAGCTGCATCATTTTGGTTTTTGTGTATTCTGCATGATGTAATTGTTGTACCTGAAACAAATAATTACAGCCCGAGTGGAACGGTCTCATATAAGGCACAGTCGCAGGATGAGGAAGCTCTAGTGCGTGCAGCTGCTTCCTTGCATATGGTTTTTGTTAACAAAAGTTCTAACATACTTGGTATGAATTCATCCTGGTTCCTTTAAATGAAATATTTTAATTATATAAAGTAATTTAAAAGAAAATACTTGTGTGCAGAAATAAACTTGAATGGGTCGTTAAAGCAGTATGAGGTGCTGGAGTACCTGGAGTTTACCTCTGATAGGAAAAGAATGTCGGTGGTTGTTAGAGATTGTGATAAGGGGAAAATTATGCTTTTGTCGAAAGGAGCAGATGAAACTATTCTTCCATGTGCATATGCGGGTAAGTGTTCCGTGTTCCTCATATAATAATCATAATCATAATATAAGTAGTTTTTAAATAGCTACTTGTAAAATGTGGCACTGGCAGGACATCAAACCAAGACATTTTCTGAAGCTGTAGATCAATATGCCCAAATGGGGCTACGCACTTTGTGCTTGGCTTGGCGTGAATTAAATGAGTTGGAATATCAAGATTGGTCTGTCATGTTTAAAGAGGCTAATAGCACATTAGTTGACAGAGAGGTACAAGAAAGCAACAACATAAATACATACATACATGCATAGAGATAGATACCTATACCTATAATATAATAATATCCCCTCCCCTCCCCACATCACATGGGGGGGTTTTTGCTTCTTGACCTAGCAGCAAGCATCCATAAGTCAGGTCCATGGGGCTGGTTGGTTGGGTGGTGTAGTGTAAACCTTTATATTTTTATTCTTTTTAAAAAAAATCTTGATATGGTCTGTTCATTTTTCTTTCTCACATCATCGGTTTATTTTTGTAGTGGAGAGTAGCTGAGGTTTGCCAAAGATTGGAACATGACCTTGAAATACTTGGGGTTGCTGCGATAGAGGACCGTTTACAGGTTAATCTTTATTTTCTGTGAAGCAGATATAGTTAGCTTAGCAGGTGAAATGCAAGAAATAGCAATGTGAATGTCTTCCAAATACAAAACATTTTCACTACTATAATCGGATAGCTTTTTCAAATTACAATATAAGAAACATCAAAAGTAAAAAACTATAAACGAGTAGACTTTTCAACGTACAATGCAAAGATTTTGTTTTTGTTTTTTTTTTTCAAAGTACAACGCTGTAATAGAAAGAGATGGAAGTTTAATATTTCTTGCGTTTGTTTTGCCCTTATTTTGGCAACCCAACCCACATATTCAATATAACAACTAACATTATATGTTGCATAATATTTTTCAGGATGGTGTGCCAGAGACGATTGAAACCCTCAGAAAAGCTGGGATAAATTTCTGGATGCTTACTGGTGACAAACAGAATACCGCTATACAGATTGCTCTGTCCTGCAATTTTGTTTCCCCAGGTACATATTCGTTAAAATTATATATAGTGAAACAAACCTTCACCTTGCTTGATATCAGAACATGAACATTGATTTTCTAGACTTGTAAGGGAACTAAACTCCATTACGTTGATTCATATATGCCAAATATTTCACACTTGGGATTGATTGTACTTTGTAGTGGGAAGGGATCATTCTCTTACTCATATCTAGTCTAGATATACCTAAACCTCAAAGGAGCATGGGTGTTGTTCTTTTTGGATTGTTAAGCAGGACTTGATATGCATTAACATGTTGTGCCACTTTTGGTGGGACGGAACCAGAACCAGAACCAGGACCACAATCTCTTTTTTTTTTTTTTTTTTTTTTTTTTTTGTGCAAAAGACATGAATGCCCTCATCATTGAAAATAGCCCTACAAAGCTTGTCCTGTCCGTCCTCTCCTATCTTGTGTGTGCAACAAACACAGCCTTTATTGCTTAGGATAATTTCAATGGCTTTGCTTTTATAAGAGAAAAACAAGTATTTTAATCCATATTTCTCCGTTACTTTTTTCTTCTCTGTTCTTAAATGCATATCACACACAGAAACCTATACATATATACACGAAAAGATTATCGACAACCTGGTTTTCAAGAAAAAAATTTACCTTGGATCAAAGTTTTGTCCTTTAATTTTGGACTAAAATTAGTAGGATTCCTAAAATCAGAAAATGACTAAAGTACGTTGCCTTTTTATGAAATTTGAAAAAATGGAAGAAAGTAAAAGAAAAACATTAGAGTAAACTATTTCAACCATCATTGTTGTAGTTTTATTATAAACTACCCTTTAGAAGTTTTGTAAAAGCAATTGACATTTGGTATAGTATATATATATATATATATATATATATATATATATATATATATATATATATATATATATATATATGCTGGTTTACAATGAAACTACAAGTGTTTTGGTTAAAAAATTAATTTGTTTTTTAGGGATTGAGAAACCACTCAACAAACATAGTCATACACATATATTCATGTGTTTGTGTGTAGAATTTGAATCACAAATAGTGATAGATGCGTACTTGGTGAAAGATATAAAAAACAAGTTGGAAAAAAGCTCTTGTTCTCCTATGATGGTAATGCATTACTTGAGAGCAGCAAAGCCACTAATGTCTCCAAATTTTCATGATTAGACTCTAAAGCCTGCACTCTTTTGTTGTTACATGTCAGATATTTTATCCTGAGCTATACCTGAAATGCAAGATATAGCAGTGTACTTTCATTTATACTTGCGTTCTTTTTGTTACAGCATAGTACTTGGATATATATATATATATATATATATATATATGTATATATATATATATATATATATATATATATATTCTTATCAAGGCCAATGTTGTTTGAAAATTTTGCCTAATGATAGCATTGTACTTTATCATTATTATTATTTTGCTTATTAGGGACATTATACTTTTGAGTTATAACAGTAAAAAATGCTTTTTATTTAGATGATAGTTGGGTAGATCCTTAGATTTTTCAAAGTACAATGCTGTGGCTGGAAACAAATCAACGAAATTATGTTGTTAAGTATGTTGAGTAGGAAGGATGAGTTTTGGAAGTTTGGTTAAATTTTAGAAATTATGATTTTTCAAATTTGTTTGTGTACAGAACCCAAAGGGCAGCTTCTGTTGGTTAATGGAAAAACAGAAGATGAAGTTTGCAGAAATCTGGAAAGAGTTTTGCTTACAATGAGGATAACAAAAGCAGAACCTAAGGTAAGATTTATGATTTATTATTGTGTTTGTTTGATTTAATTATTTATGTATGTTGCAGGATGTGGCTTTTGTGATTGATGGATGGGCTCTTGAAATTGCACTCAAGTATTACCGGAAAGCATTCACAGAGTTGGCAATATTGTCACGGACAGCTATATGTTGTAGGGTTACACCATCCCAGAAAGCACAGGTACAGCTGCTACTGCTAGGACTAGTTTGTTTATATTTGTATTCTGTGATTGGAGTTGGACTGGTACTAAAGCTTTGTATTTTGCAGCTTGTAGAGCTTCTTAAATCTTGTGACTACAGAACTCTGGCCATTGGGGATGGTGGGAATGATGTGAGGATGATCCAACAAGCTGATATTGGCGTTGGCATAAGTGGGAGAGAAGGACTACAGGCAGCAAGAGCAGCTGATTACAGTATTGGGAGTAAGATCTACTCCATTTTTGGCTAACAAAACAATTTTTCTCAGCAATCTATCCTTAACCAAATGAAAACAACTAACTGAATGGAAATTACCATTTTCTTCAATTTCATTCCTTTTGTGGAAGTGGAACAACATTATAATTTGCAATATCACCCAACTCCCGTCTTTATTTATTTATTTATTTATCAATTCATGATTTCAATTATATTACAATCTTATTTTCTAAAAACAACTAGAAAATGTATATATCTTTTACTAAATACTTTTATTGGGTTTAGGTGAGCATTTAATCTATTAGGTTTAATTAATGTTCATGGATAAAATCTTCATTGATTATAATTGAAATCATAGAGTAGATATGTTTCTGCATATAATATAAAAAAGTCATATCTAAATTCATTCCGCTCCTATTGATCACCAAACAGACTCATTCCTTACCTTCATCAATCCCATTTCATCCAATCAAACAGACCATTATGATTATTCTTCTTCCAAAGAAACATCCCCTGGCCATGGCCATGGCATCATTCTTTTAGGTTCTCATTCATTGCTTTTGGGATGCACGGGGGATTATGTATGGGTTCAATAATTTCCCATGTCTCAGAATTATTTAAAATATTATTAAATTAGTTTTAAATGGCAATAAATAAATTGCTCTTTTGTTTCAGTTTATTATACCCTGCCTGATCTCAGCACAGGAAGTAATATCTCCATTTGTGTTGCTATGCAGAGTTCAGGTTCCTTAAAAGATTGATACTTGTCCATGGGAGATATTCATATAACCGCACCGCATTTCTTTCACAATATTCATTCTATAAATCCTTACTCATATGCTTCATCCAGATTTTGTGAGTTCCCTGCAACAACCTGTGTTAATCTCTTTCTTTCATCCTTATTATTATTATTATTATCATTATCATCATGATTACTACTACTACTACTACTACTACTACTACTACTACTACTACTACTGTTTTCATCATTGCTATTTTTGTAATCATTGTGTTTGTTATTATTAATCTTATCATCATTATCATTATTTTTTATTATAATTGTTATTGTTGTTGTTATTATTATTATTATTTTGCCTGCGTATGTTACATGGGCCTGGACTGGACTAGACTGGATTGGGTGGAATTGAACAAGCTTTCTAGGGTTATTTTGAGACCATGTTTATTGGAGCAAAGTCGCGACCAATTGTGGGGCAAAAATACGTATATTTAATAAATAAAAATGAAAATACCATACTAATTTACAACCAAAGTCGCCAGACAGAACGAATCACTACCCAACCTTGCCACATGTCAAATTTATATATATATATATATATATATATATATATTCTTTTTAGTTTTAATAGTTATTTATTAGATAATATATTTATCTAAAAATTGTAAAAAATATATTAAAATACATGGTTTATTAATTCTTTATAAATAGAGTATCATATTGATGGATTTTCTATATTTATTTGAAAGTCTCGTATATGATATATTTTTGGTTGTGATAGGCTGTTGATAAATGGTAAAAAGTTGAATTTGGTTGGTTGTATGTGTAAATGATAGAGAAAATATTTATTTAAAGAGGATGAGGAGTCCCTTTTCTGGGAGGGATCAAAGTTACAATTTTTGTCCCACTGACATCAATCTGAGTCCCGGTCGAATGCAGTACATGATGTTTGTTACCTTTTCTGTCCTGTCAGTGTCTTGTTTCTTTTCTTTTGTAAATTGTAAGAAACGGATGTTATTTCTTATAATTCAACTACTGACTTAAATTGTGTTCAGTTTCTCGTTCGTTTCAGGTGTATCTGGCACCAGCCTTTTCAACTCTGTGAGCCTCATGGCTTATAATGTTTTCTACACCAGTGTTCCTGTTCTAGTCAGTGTTCTTGACAAAGATCTCACTGAGAAAACTGTTATGCAGCACCCGCAAATATTATTTTACTGCCAAGCAGGGAGGTTAGTAATTAGTTACGACTTAGGATGGATTCTTCTTATCATTCTAGTTAACCTAAGCTTTAATATTCTTCTTCTTAAACAGGCTTCTCAATCCTACTACATTTGCTGGATGGTTTGGGCGTGCTCTTTTTCATGTCAGTGCTATTTCTTAATTACCATTTCATATTGCCGCTTCTTATCTTATCAATATGATCCATCATCTCTCATGACTCATGCTCATCATTTTTTTTTTAAATGCAAGCAAACGTAACCTATATGGGTAAATAAGCTAATATATTATCCTTCAAAAATTCATGAATTATCATACCTAAGTGTTAACTGAGAGTGGATAATATGAAAAATAATTACAGGTATTAACTTTAAATAAAAAAAAACTTTATGAAATGCTTTTCTCATCTTCACAGTTAAGAAGCTGATTTGATTTCATCGGCATGACCATGTCATCAATATTTCTTTCTTATCCATTGCTATATCTATATATGGCTACTCCATATTTCCCTAATATTTACAGTGGTGATTATTACTTTTTTCAGGCGATTGTTGTGTTTGTGATAACCATACATTCATATGCCTTTGAGAAAAGTGGGTTGGAGGAGGTATCAATGGTGGCACTTTCTGGCTGTGTCTGGTTACAAGCTTTTGTGGTCACATTGGAGACCAAGTAAGTTACCAACACTTGTGATTTCAACTACTAGAATTCATCTTCACCATTTGTATTTGTGAAAATATTTCCCTCTCTTCCGATTCCGACAGAGCAATACATCTATTTTCGATGAATGAGGATGAGAAGGGCATTTACGTCTTTTTCTCAAACCAGTCTCTCCCACCTTCTTTGGTAGGACAAAAAAGTTGCAATTTTTGTCTCATTTACGTAATACAATAATACAACCTGTTCTACTATTCTATCCTGTCCAGCGAGCGTAACACTTGTCTAAAATAAAAAATTCAAAGAATGTTTTTTTTTATATGTACTTTTTTGTATTTAATAATCTCGTCGAAAAAGAAATGTGTGTGTACACGATACATGCTGCTTTAAATAAAATTATATGAAACCGAAACTCAGGAAAGATCTCTATCTATGGAAAACATGAAAAAAGGAGTGCAGTAAGTGAAAAGATCTGTTTTTGTGGTTGACGTGAAGTAGACTGATGTCATCATGTCAATGGGATGATTTTTGGTCCCACCCGACTATACAGAAGACAAATAATTGCCATCCATTTCTCATCAAATCCACAAATGTCATTTTAAAATTTAAATAGCCCCAGAAAGTTTTGTCCATGGGATAGAAGTTGCAGTTTTTTGTTCCACCCCCACCCAAAAAAATAGCCCTTGAAAGCTTGGTAACTGAAACTTAATTCGCTTTTTCGTTTACCAATTATGTGTATGTGTGCAGCTCATTTACAATCTTCCAACATGTTGCCATATGGGGCAATTTAGTGGTTTTCTATATCATCAATTGGATTGTGAGTGCTGTGCCACAATCCGGGATGTACACAATCATGCATCGCTTGTGTAGACAGCCCTCTTACTGGAATACTATGTTTGTAAGTGCATCCATCCATCCATCCCTTTTGCATATTCTTTCTCCTAGTACTCAAATTCTGAGCAAATGTGAACCTAAGCCCACACGAAACAACAGGCTGTATCTGTACCAATATTATTAGACTAGACAAAAAGTGCAAGTTTTCATCACTCTTTCTCTTGTGTACTTACTGTGTTGTGTGCAAAAGACAGTAAGGTTATTTTTAATTCTAACGATGGGAAGAGTACAGAGTGATTAATTTATTGGATGGGACCATACCATACCAAAAAATATATCTGTTGTTCCATATGATATGGTCATGAACATTGACTAAAACAAACAAAACGTAACTAAAAAGCTATTTGCTAAAATTATGATATAAAGTATATTTTTTAAATACATTACATGTAGATTTGTTGTGTTGTGTTTGGATATAATTTCAGCTGATAGTAGCTGCTGGGATGGGTCCGGTGCTAGCTTTGAAGTACTTCAGGTACACATACAGATCAAGCAAAATCAACATTCTTCAGCAAGCGGAGCGCTTGGGTGGCCCCATCCTCTCACTTGGAAACATTGAACCGCAGCCAAGATCAGTATTATTAGACAATGATGTTGATGTCGATGTCGCCCCCTTGTCAATTTCTCAGTCCAAGAACGGCCGCAACTCTGTTTTCGAGCCGCTTCTCTCAGATTCACCCAATGCCGTCAGACGCTCTTTCGGGCCCGCAGCTACATTCGACTTTTTCCCATCCCAGTCCAAGTCTTCCACCTATTCCCGAAATAAGGACAAGTAACACCCACCCACCATTTTTCACCATCCAATCCAATAACCCACCTAATAGAATCCTATCATTTTTGTAAAGTTTTTGCATTTTATTACTATTATATCAACTCATTTTTCACCTAACCTATCCTATGCCTTTTTAACACTTTAAATAATTGTATAAAACTATGGTTGCACCCTGCCGGTGCCTTATGCCTTTTCATTTTCAACAGCTTAAATAATTGTAGGAAACTATGGTTGCACCCTGCCAGTTTTGTCAAAAAAAAAAAAAAAAAAAAATATCCTTCGTGCATCAAAACGAGTATGTAAAAAAATGATTTTGTAAGCAAGATGTAATTTGTAAAAATTAAAAAAATCTTAAAAGACAAGGCATAAAATGGAAAATCTCAAAAAGATCTGTAAAATCAAATTCATAAAATCTAAAATGTAAAATCAGCACTAAAAATATAATTTATAAATATAAAACTAAATTTTATAAAACAAAGTTGTAAAAAAAATAAGAAAAATATTATAAAAAAGTTTGTAAAAAATTAATTTTAATAAAAAGTTGTAATTAGGATGTAGTTTATAAATTAATAAAACTATGGTGATATTACCTCTGTTTTACGGGAGGCTTAATATGTAAATTTTCTATTTCTTCTGTTATTTTTGTAATTGTTTTAAACACATGTTCTATAAATTATAGGAATAATTTTTGTAATTTATTTTCTATACAGGAGTCAAATTTGCCAACATAAGAAAATCTTAAGCATATGAATTGTTTATGTAAAAAAAGACTTCATTTGTAAATTGGATAATTTTTATAATTTATTTTCTATACAAGGATATAACATGTCAACGTATGAAAATGTTGTGGCCAAAGTCTTAGATCCAAAATATCTATGGACCAAACCAGCCAATAAACAAAACTGTTTTGTGGTCAAAATATGAAACTCATAAATTGTAGGGACTAAATATGCGAATATACCAATTTTTTTGTGGCCAAATTCTCAAACCAAAAAGTCCACTTGTAACATCTGATTTTTGGACGTTTCTTATTTAGAAATAACGAGCTTTGTTTTAGTCAAAGAATAAAGTTCAGACCTTAAAGTACTGCGATTTTGGGCTAAATGTATAAGACTTATAACTTAAAGGGTTAGTTTTGGGTTGTGAACGGTTTAGACTTATGCTGATTGGGTTGGACCAGACAAATCACGACGCAACATGTAAACTCAGGCTAAAACTGAAAAAACGGAAAGTCGAAGGGCCTTGGAAATTTGGGCGGGACTTAACCGGGTCGAGTATTATAACACGTTTGAAAATAAAAAAAATAAAAATAAAAGAGATGTTAGGTGCTAAGAGTCCCCAACCTAAAGTTATTGATCATCATGTCTAATTAATGTTCTTAATTGTAATGAATATATAATAATAATGGATTATTATGGATAACGGTAATCAATTAATTATATTGGTTAAGGTAAATTACAAATTTGGTATGTTGTGACGTTGGATGCATCTCCGCTTGTGTGGTCTCAATCTCGATCGACCTCCATACATCTTCATCATAAGCTTATAGGCAATCTTCCATCCTAATCACCCATTGATCATACTCTACATGAATGAGCATAAGAGCTTTGGTGTTTAACATGTTGGATCTATATGCTCAAGAATCATTTTAGAATGATATTTGCTAATAACATATGATCTTATATGGTTACAATTTTAGCAAGTTGTCACTTATTAAATATTTATTAGTAATGACAAAATTGCAAAAATGGTCCTTGTGGTTTGTCAAAAAAAAAAAAAAATCCTATTATCACCCTCACCAACCCCCTTCTATCTCTCTCTACATTACATACACCCATTCGCTAAACATGCAAAACAAATGTTTGTCATCATCGGACCTCCGACTATGACGAAGGCGGTGACTCGTCAGAACTTATGAATGTCACCGCTACCACCATTGGAAGATACGAATGCCACCACCCCCTCCAGTCTATACAACCACCGCATGTCAAAATCACCACCACCACCACAACTCAACACCACCACTACCATCGGTTTTCCGACAAAGACAAAAACACACTCGATTTTCCGTCAAAAAGAAAAAGAAACCCTCCGATTTGATAATCTTTCAAACCCCATGAACACTCCGATTAGGGTTTTCATCTTCAACATCCATTGTCTCCGCCTCCGATCAAGAAAACCCTTATGGAAAACCCCTTTGATTCCCTAATTGATTCCCACTACTGGAGAAAACGAATCGAGATCTGAAGAGCTAGGGTTTTGTCGCCTTCAGTCATCAGTAAACAATAACGAATCCGACGACGACACTGCCGTCTGGAAATCCTCGCTCCTTCTTCAACGACGACGTTGGGCTACGTCCTAGAGAAACCCGTGTCGATCATGTTACAACGTCGGTTCCTTGTTGCCATTGGAGGTACGTAGATCTGAAGCACTACCTCCGACGAGAGGAGAGAGAGAGAGAGAGAGAGAGAGAGAGAGAGAGAGAGAGAGAGAGCCATATATATGTTATGAAAATCCATTCTCACATTTATGACTTAAGGAATAACTACATATACTATGATGTAAAAAGAATAAAATCTATATTTTTATGTTAAATCATTAAAAATATAGTATTTGGTTATTTTATAATAAAAAGGATCGTTTTGTGTTTATAAAAGCAAAGTCATATAAAAATTATATATATTTCAAATGTATTATTGCTTTATAAATTGTACATTGCTTTTGTTTTAGTTGATTTCACATTGGTTGAAATTTAGTTTTGGTCAAAATTCAGTCGTTATGTTGTCCGGTTTTCTAGATTTTCATTAGAAAACTTTATTACAATTTCTAAACTCCTAGTCTATTAAACTTTATAATTTAAGTTTTAAAGACTCGGGTTCCTATTTTGGAACGATTTGAACTTAGTAAACGAATAGTAGTTTAATAAATTTTTTACCTAAAGTTTAGAACTTAAATGCACGCACACACTTTTAGATCTGTTAAACTCGAGATTTCCTATATGAGATGTAATCTTCATCTACTAAGAACACGAAAACTTAGTAAAGCCCTTTGTGCTTTAACCGTTAATCCGTAAGGAGCGTGAAACTTTTTGTATAGATCTATACGGGTTGACAATCCCGCCTGTGGTTGCTAGCTACAACCTACGTCTGACGAGTCGAAACGGATGTTAATGTTCATTCTCTACACTTTTCACGATGTCGATGAAGCATTGATGATGTTCTCAACACGCCCCTTTGCAGTGCTTTTTCAGAGGCTTTCTCATCCATAGTTCGGTTACAGGTTCATTATAGATCCGTAGTTCACTCTATAAGCACACGTATAGAATTGAAATAGTATTTATACGTAATAGTAGTAAGAATGTTTTTCTCAACTGTTAAGTGTTGGTTAATTAATTAAGTAAATGATACGTAATAAAGGTTATGACCCGACTTTATTGTTTACAAACTTATATTTAATAAGTTATTAATGTATACAACTCCTTTACTTGTATTGGATTACAAGTGTTTAAACAATTTATTTTATATTTTTTAGTTAGAAAAAGTTCGTTCAATTTATATAAGTTAATGTTCAATTACATTTATATAAAACACACTTTTGATTATAAAAGTACGCAGAGTCAAAACCTTTGGAACTCACCAACAATTTTTATTGACGTATTTTAAACGCATGTATTCTCAGGAACATATGACTTGGATTACACATATTGTGTATCATGGAAAGTCTGTTTCCTTGCTTTATTGTTGGCCGATTTGTTCAAGCCTTTGTTTTATTTTAAATTACGTTTTCCTGAACTTGTTATATATTATCGTATTTCTGGAGTTTCGAACAATGTAATCCTTGTCCTAAGATTAATGAAAGTATGTAATATTATTATAAGTTTTTGTATTGTTCATTATGTGTGTGTTATCTGTGATCCAACATTTACGTCGCTACCCTGACGCTTCTGCCTCTGACCGGGGTGTGACAGATTGGTATAAGAGCTAACGACTATAGGGAAATAAGTACTTTCTTAGGAAAGCACGACTATAGTCTAGGGATTACTCTCTTAGGTTTAGGTATATCCCTTAACCTATAAATAATAAGTATTATTAATTATACTACCGATGGACTACTTACGGGAACAGTGTCAGGATAGACATGTCGCATGGGTTGCTGGATTTTAGCATAGCTAAGCTAAATGCCAAAATGGTCTTGCCATCAGACTGTCCTGACTGGTCGATGCCTTATCAACTAGACCTGAAGTAACGAACAATAATTAATAAATCTCGTAAACAAAACAAACATAAGATATAGAGTTATATGAACTCAATCACTCGATGATAACACTTAAACAATACCATAACTAACTTAAACTAAAGATTTTAGGTCAAATACTCAACTAGGTTTTATAGTACATAAGTCATACCACAACGAAACCTAGTTGCGCACCTAAGATTTATTATGGTCAGGCCGCATGAACTATCCAACTTAAGTGCAGTAGTTGATAGACTAAACATTTGGAGATTTAAGGGATTTACATCTCATGGATTCACACGACTCACACCACGTTATCACAACTTCACACCACACACTCATCGATATGCACACATGGTTTTTTATGATATGCGGTGCTGACTCGTTTCAACTATTTTTAGGATGGACGACTTACCGAGGTGGATGATCATTGAGCCACCATAGGATGAACAAATGCTATCACTACTATATGGGGATACGTATTTTTCAGATGTACCACTGATGAGTGATCCAATTCCTTCGAACGATGAAGCACCACTACCTTCAGAAAGTAGTGAACCTGTAAAGGACCCCAAGGAAGACCCTGAAGAGGAAGAGCCAGAAGAAGACATGGAATCATATAAGTTTAAGTCAGAGGGAGATGTGGAACCTATGATTGAAAAAGAACGTGTTACACCACCACCGCCTATACCATGCATGCCAATCACCGGAAGAAATCTCACTCGAAAGACATCACACAAGTCTATTCTGGTGCGTGGTTGAATCAGGAAGAAGTCAAAGAATAATTCATCTGATATGCAAAACAATCATAATCGGTATGACCCTTTCCATGATGGGTGGATAGAGATAGAGAGTTTCCCTTGTGAATTTGGAGGCAATCACAATAACCTATAGAGGCAAACGGACAACCCTGCTTGGATTTCAGGTGTGGTAAACGATTGGTTGAATGGAAATGGAGGAAATTGCAGGTTTGAAGTTGGACAGTCATCTCGAACAAAATCCTCGACACCCACTGAAGTTGAAGCCTTATCACTTCTATTTGATCGCAACATCTAGCTTGGCCACTAAGTGAAGACTATGAGTGATGAATTAAATATCATCGAGGGGAACACCGTACATCTATAGAGGATGGAACAGAGAATGGAAATCCAAAGAGCTCATGATCATGAATCAGCAATGAAAGATCACTACAAGACCTAATTCGCCTATGACTACATGATCACGCATGATATCCGATAGTTGGAACTGGAAATGCAAATCAAATAAGCACTTTCCAGAGTAATGGGTGTTGTTGAGAGAGATGGTATGGTTAAACAGCGGTGCTGGGAGATGGAAGAACAAGTATAAGAGATACTTTCCACTTTGGCACGTTGCTTGCGTCTTGGGTAGACCAAGATGGGAGTTGGTTATGAATAGGGTATCTGTGGTAAGAAATGGTATATGCAAGTGTATAATTTCGACTTGCCAATTTTGTTGTAGAAGTTTAAGATTAGTATGAATATATGAGGATGATCGGGCACGTAATGCCCCATGGTTGTAGTTAGTGGAGGGAAAAAGCATATAGCGAGAGGTTTAGATAGTCTCAAAAAATTTCAAATTTTTTTGACTCATGTAATGATGTTTAGGGCTTTTTACCCTTAACATGCACAAATGATCTTTTGTAATCGCGGAAAATGCATGTAACCAAAAAATGATATAAATATAATTGACGCATACATTATATTAAATCTGAGCTTGTTAAACAAACTGTATGCACTATGTGCTTAACTTAAATTTTGGTGAACTCTTATGAACAAAATAGTCGTTTAACATTTGTACTCTAATGACTAACAAAACGCTACGTAAAAACTTACACTCTTCTTACCTCTAATAGGAAGAACAATATGCCTCTCGGAAGGAGGAGTATCCGAATAAATCGTAAACTCAACAAGAAGGACAACCGGAACAATCACCACTACCGCCACCACTGCCTGTAGTGAAAATCGCCATGGACTCAACGACGCTAGATAAATTAATAGCACAAAGAGTTACAAACGCACTAGTAAATTATAAGACCATCTGGAACGCATCATATGAAGAACATCAAGGTAGGGGAACCAATGGTTAGGGAAGCAGTTCCCATGGTGGCAATTGGGGGCCTACAAGGGCATGTACCTATAAAGACTTCATGAACTGTAAACCCAAAAATTTCTATGGAAATGAAGGCGTCATTGGTATAGCACGGTGGATTGAGAAAACTGAATCAATCTTCCAAATCAGCTTTTGTCTGGGGGATGGTAAATCCAGGTTTGTTGCATGTACTTTCATGGACACAACATTAACTTGGTGGAACGACAACATGTCCACAATGGGTGTTACAAATACCATGACTTGGGAGGACCTGAAAGAGCTCCTAATCGAAGAGTACTATCCCATGGATGAAATTCAAAAGTGGGAACACGAAATTTGGATCTTGATCATGAAGGGTGCCGACATTAAATGGTACACTAATAGGTTTACTGATCTCTCTCTTTTGTGTCCGACACTCGCGACTCTAGAATACAAGAAAGTAGAGCGATACATTCGGGGTTTAGCGCCACATATTAAGGCGATGGTCATGGATTCAAGACCAACAACCTACAGAAGTGTCAAGCACATCACAGTTCATCTGACCAAGATCGAGATACAACTAGGAACCATGGTAGAGAAGATCAAAATCCCCAAGTATGGTTGTAACGCCTGGTTCCTGGTATGTATTTAACATATAAATTATTCATTTTTATAGAGCAACTCGGCGAGTTGGAGGCCCCAGACTCGTCAAGTAGAGATATTTTGGACCGCACGTTTTGGTGACCAACTCGAAGAGTTGGGAAGTATCAACTCGACGAGTTGGCTGGGTGAAATGAAACCCTAAATTAAGGGTTTTGCACCCTATTTAAACACCTTAAACCTTACATGTTGGCCTCATTTTCCAGCCTCCACTATCCTAACCCTAAATCTCGAAACCCTAAGCTACTTTGAGTGATTGTGAGCCATTTTGGGTGTTTTGATGTGTGTTGAAGCCATTGAAAGAAGGAAAAGCTTGAAGACTCAAGAAGGAGCTTATAGATCCGTAATCCTTGCTTCATCCACAACACTTTTCTAGTATAAAGCTTGATACTTGCCTTGTAGTTGAGTAGATCTCCTTTTGGGGTCATTTTGCTTGCTTTTAGCCCAAATATCATGGTCCTTGGGAGTTGGACATCTCAAATGAGTTAACACTTCATATCTAGGGTCTTAAGGGGTTTTCATGGCATAAAGGTGCCAACTTTATGGTCATGGAAGTCCCATGCAACCTTTAGACCATCATTTTGGCCTTTTAGAGCTTCTAATGGCCATGCATGTAGATAAAGCTGGGACTTTACGTGATATTTCAGTCCCTAGAGTCCAGAGATCTATGACCTCATGGTCTATCTTGTAGTTTTGGTGGTCTTTGGATGAAGACTTTGGCCTTTTTGGGTTAGGGTTTGAGCTTAATCTCATTAGGAAGGGTATTAATGGGTAAAGTTGGAAACTTTACCCTCCTAGAGGCATTTCCAGTCTAGATCTGGAGTATAGGGTGTAGATCTGAAGAATAATGGCTTAATGTATTAAGAAGGATTAACAGACTGAAGAACTCAACGAGTTCATAAAGGAACCCGACGAGTTGATTAGAAGTGTCCCGATTCTTTTGAAAAGGAAGAACTCGGCGAGTTGGAGGAAAAATCGATGAGTTGGATCGCGATTTCACGACTCTGTGATTCATGGGAACTCGACGAGTTGAAGGGCAAACTCGACGAGTTGAGTCAACTCGGAGCGTTGACTTTGACTTTGACTTTGACTTGGACTTGGATCAAAGTTGACCCTTAAGGGGTTATGAGTATGAAATGGGTACTTAAGAAAATCTTTTATGTGTAGGGGATTGAGTTGGTTTGATATTCGGAGCCAGGGACTGTTCAACTACTTCCAGTTTTCGAGGTGAGTTACCTTCCCGGTATAAAAGTGGGTCGAAGGCACCAATGCTGGCCCACTAGTAGTTGTTTACAGTAGAGATGATTGTCTTTGTGGTAATTGTCTGGTTTGCCACTACCTGTTGAGATTTATGTGCTTGTATGCTATGTTACAGCGTGGTAGTGGTAGGGGTGAAGTAGATGTTGGATTAATGTCTAAGTCCATAACTATAATTGGTAAGACTTGACCCGACCCGGCATGGTCCATTTGGGTTGCATGGCATCATGCATTTGGATAGACTATAATGAGAGAAATAACACTTAAGGTTGGTTAATATATTATAAGTTCTAATATATTAATAAGGTTATTTAATTAGTATTGATCAAGAATTAATTTGGAATTAATTAAGTGATCAAAAGGAGACTAATTAAATATATGGGTTGATTATGTAAATCATTCATTCTTATATATATATATGGGCTTGTGATCCAAGATTTCTTATGTTGGACTAAGTCCATGGGGTGACCCATAGATACTCCATGGAGGTTAAAATCCATGGAGCGTAAGGAATGGGTAAAGTTATGAGTTACATGGTGTAACCCTAATAGCCACCATATAAAAGAATCCCATGGCTCAAGAAATCGTGACTAATGTGTGAATATGAGGGCTAGACGATTTCAAGGAGTGTTCCATTTCTCTCAAGTCATTCCATGTGCATTTGGTGTTGTGTGAACCATTTGAGGTGTCACACTTGGGGCACTAGGCACTCAAGCTTCATGGAGACAAGCTACATCAAACAAAGGTATGTATTCTATCCATTTGATTACCCAAGTATCAAGTATTGTATGCTAGATAGGGTAATACCTTGGAAAGTTCATAATTGCATGTATAATAGAGAAAACATAGATGCAAGGTATTTAGGGTTGTATGTGCACCATAGGATGTTGTAGTATACTAAAACCCAACAGTGGTATCAGAGCCAAGGCTTGTTTTCTTGTTATACTTGCAAAATTAGCTGAAAAATCGAATTGTATTAGTTTAAAAGTTATGCTAATTACTTGAAATTTTTTTTGATGTGAATTATCTTTGTTCATATGAGTTTATTAGATTAATAGAAAAGTTAATTGATTATGTGTTTTCAATCCATTTTAATCTAAGAGTTGATTCTAAAATGTGTTTTTGTAACTTGTCTTCAAGTTATATGAAAAGTCACATTTAAGTTTCATAAAACTCATAAAAAGTTGGCAATGGTTACAAAAATGAAGAGTCTTGTCCTCATTAAATGGTTTTATGACTCCATAACTTGTCCTCAAGTTATGGAGGTTCAAGAGTCACTTCATTAAATGATAAAATGTGTAACCTTAATTAGTTCCACAAGTTACAAAATAAAGAAAAGTTACATTCTTTTATTAGTTTAAAGTCTTCCATAACTTGTCCTCAAGTTATGGAACTTGAAGAGTTTTTTTTAATTAAAACTACTTTAAACACATAAGTTATGGAATTAATTAGTTTTGAATATTTTCAAAACTTGCCCTCAAGTTTGGAATTTGTAAAGTTTTCCCCATGAATACTTTAATTCCAAGTTAGCCCTTAGAATTTTAAAAGTTAAAATTCAACCCTTATACTTTATAGTATTATAAGTTAATAATAAATATATGTATAAGAGCAAGTCAGTCTTACCGTTAGTAGGCCTCATTCACGAAGCCGGTCTATAAGGGGGGTATAAGGTTACTGCCTATAAAATGACAGTTTAATGGGTGTCCACTCTCACCCACCGCTTCCTTGACTGGTGGAGGGTCGTTAGCCGAACGGGT